ACCCAAATGAACAATGCATGCCAGTTACTGCTTTCCACAATGTGTCCTGCGACCCACTGTGCCACAATAAATTGCAATATGTTGCTCAGTCAGGGTGTATAACTCACACATTCGCAATGAATCTGAACAGCTAATAGTTACTTGGACTGCAGTTGATTAAAAAAAAAAAAAAACAACCTAATTTCCCTGTGGCAATGAAATAATCGTCATGCTTATTATTGTATCATTGTTTCCAAAATATAAAATAATGGTTTTAGTGGCAAGCATCATTAATGCCCGAAGTCTCTTGTATTCTAGGGAAATCAAATCAGACAAACTCTGGCATGCAAAAGCACATAAATAACTGGTGAATACTACCTGCGGTCTTCTGAGTCCAGATTTGCCCGATGCCAAGAGCAATCAATTCTTTTTTGGCTGCAAAGGACAGGAGGGCACTCAATACCTTGCAGAAGGCACTTGGTACCTGGCAAAAAAATCAAGCTTTCCACGTGCCGGCACCCCGTGAAAAAGCAAACCCAAAAGTGTGTATGACAGCAATGGTTCTCTCCCTTAACGAGGGAAGGCAACCTCCTGGAGACACTGCCAGCTGTCTTCAAGGTGCTGAACGCTCTCCCTGCCTGAGACAGTTGCACCTCCTAAGCTGACTGCTTAAAAAAAAACAACAACACAAAACTGTCTTATCAAGGGATAACACGAAAATAACAAAGCATCTTTCAGTCAGTCTGAATTGCAGGAAAGATTTTACCACTAATGAGACATCAGGGATGCTTAAAAGCAGGGACTTGGGCAGCAGCACAAGAAAGTGCGTGTGATTACAAGAAATTTCTTCTTCCCTAATCAAGATCACCCAAATGAGCTTGGGCTACACCATGACCTCTGAGAACCACCAGAAGAATATGGTTTCAGAGTGCTAATGGAGTTTTCCATCACAGTGAGACGATTTAATGGGGGAAAATATCCTACACAACAAGTTCTATGTAATACTAGTATACATTTTAAATAAGTCTGCTCAGGCAGTACTATTCATTAGCAAAAGTAGATCAGTAAGATCAGAAGCTGGGATTCTGCCTGCGCAGGGACTCAGATCTATTGCAGACATGCCTCAGGGTTCAAGGCCAGCAGGACTGATCCCTGAACAAGGGGAACTGGCTCTGACTCTATCTGTACTGTGATAAAGCAATAGCAATGCCGCTGGAATCAACAAAGCTCTGCTGGAGTAAATCAGTGGAGAATTACATTCTGATTTTGTGTGCCTTTGCAGCTAGTTTGACAGGCAGTATTAAACAACACTAAGATCTCAAAATGTGACTTGGAAGGAATAACATAAACAAACATCTCAACCTACAGCGCTATTGCTCCCTGATCCCTGAGGAGGCAATTACTCCCTCAGTGATGTTCTGTGTGGCTCAAATACAGCAACTGCCAGTACAAATATTTTCTTTCCTTTTTTTTTTTTTTCTTTTTTTTCTTTTTGGTGGTGGTGGTGGTGGTTTTGGGTTTGTTTGTTTTTTTTTCCTTTATCAACCATAGAACCTAAGAACCATAGAATCATTTGACTTGGAAGGAACTCTTAAATCCATCTGGTCCAACCCCCCTGCAATGAACAGGGACACCCACAGCTCCATCAGGTGCTCAGAGCCCATCCAGCCTGACCTTGGCTGTCTGCAGGGATGGGGCACCACCACCTCTCTGGGCAGCCTGTGCCAGTGCCTCAGTGGCTGTACTGTAAAAACCTTCCTTATAGCAACTCCTTATAAACCTCTCCTCTTCTAGTTTGAAACCATTTCCCACTATTAACCAGCCACGATGAACAACAGCCTGCTCTGCCTATTCCTTCACCTAAAATCTTCTGAACTGCTTATCTTTTAGTGGAGTGTTTGTTTGCACCTAGCTTACCTACCTTCCTCTAGGAATGTACTTGAGAAACTAAAAGTATGCAGAAAGTGTGCAGAGCTCAGACCTTCTTCCAGTTTGAAGACTTATTCATCTATGCTGAGATGCTGATACCTCCATTTACACAAGGAGATAAAAAAAGGTTTAAGGTAATAACCACCTTCTCCTCAATGCAAACATCCTCCTTCCAGAGAATGAAATGCTGCCTTTGGCCAGATCCCATATAGCAGATATTTTGTTGGTTATTTCATGAAGCGTTAGCTGGATTTTCATTATAAGCTATTATTTTTGGCTGCTGTTTTCATGAAGCAGCTGTAATAAACAAGTGAGATTTATGTTCCTTTTTAAATTGCTTGAAATAATTAGGGTTGTTAAATTTAGACTCGGAAATGACTGATTTCTCCATTTTTTTCATAAATACAGAAGTTACAAAGCACTCTACAACTACTGGTCAGGCTTGGGACAGCATAGCATGTTGTATACTATCCAAAATGTGTTTTAGATGAGGAAATGATCTAAGTTCTCCAAACAAATGCTTTAAAAGTAAGTGACAATTGTGCTAACTAGTTTTAACAACTGCACTGTGTGTTCTTTTTCTGCAGCCTGCCCTTTTCTGGCTTCTTTAAGGTCCTATTCTGATCTACACAGGTGTGAATAGATACCCTGAACCTGGATCATTCCAGCAATCTGAACGGAAAGCAGGACCACAACTGAGGCCCAAAGCCAGAGCAGACTTCTGCAGCTGACTTCCTAGCTTGACTTGCTTCCTAGTTTATACTGCATGCAATTATTACAAAAGCTCCGACCCATGCCAGGTGTTCAAACTCCAAACCCAGAGCCTGTGGCTTCCTCTCATTTCTGCATCATTTATTTTTTCCAATCGTTCTTCCTCAACTACAACTTGAGCTGCTGACAGTCCAGATACGTATTTAAAATAGAAATGATGCACCTCCCACCCCAATCTGGGCACTTCACAGCCTATTGCTGCATCACAGATCCTGAACCAACAAATTTCCCTCATGGAAGCACTGAATAAACATCATCTTAACAGCTTTCCACCTTCAGGAATGTTTTTCAGGATTTTTTTTGGTTTTTTGGTTGGTTTTTTTTTTTTTGGTTGGTTGGTTTTGTCATTCATCAACCTTACTGTTTTCTCCTTGTGCAGACACCAACACCTCAGCAATCAACATTTCCTCAGTGCAGCGGGGCAGACAAGCTGACAATATCGAGGTCCAGGACTTAGCTTTATGGTTCAACCATAGGGGTTCTACCAGATGGTTCTGCCAGAGGGGACAGGTGTTGTTCAGCTGACTGCAATCCCAGAGGAGGTGAGAAAAAAGTTAATTGCGATGTGGAAAGGCCACATCATAGCGTACACAGAAGGAACACAGCAACAACATCTCAGCTGTTTAACTAGAAGAAAACATACAACAAGAAGGAAAGGAGAGAGACCTGTCCATTTTTACTTGATGAATTTTTATAACTAGAAGAAAAACTAGGGGAAAGTATGCAAACAGGAATGATGGAAATGGAAAAGGATCCCAGGGTAATCTGCAGAAGACAGATGTGATAGGTAGTAAATTACAAAACTGTTAGTATTTCTTTGCTCTATAGATCATAGAACAGAAACAACTTCTTTTTAAAATGAAAAAATCCCAGAGCATTAATATCAATACGTAGGAATACCGTCTTAAATCAATCTGAGGTAACATAACCAAGTGGCATGAAATGGGATGGAGCTTTGCTGCTAATAAAAAGCCCTACATCTCAGGAGAGCAGTGACATTGCTGTGAACCCAAGAAAGACCTAAAGGTGACTGCAGGTAAGATTAGCCATTTAATTCAGTTTCTATATGTGGTGCTTCTGAATGATGCAGGAGAAGGGGCAAAGCTAGGCTATTTTTGGATCTGCAGATATGAAGGAGTGATACAGAAATCTAAAGCATGCTGCCATGTCAGAACAACTGCATTGGATATACAGTATGAACTGCTCACAGATTATCCTCCACAGATTATCAAGGAGATAGAAAAAGTAAAGAAAACACAAAAAGGACAACAAAGAATGATCTAAGGAGAGAGTAAGAGAGATAAATTAATACGGTCTATAAATAAGAAGACTCCTGGGCTGTGATCCACCTATAAATACCTTCAAAGTACTATGTGTAGAGGCACATAATTAATCTAGCTCAAAAGACAGCAGGACAAGAAGCAATTGCTTAAGTGTAGGGATGGAAACATTCAGGATGTACAGTAAGAAAAAGTTATTTGAAGAGACACAATTGCTCAACAGAACAGATTCTGCAGGTGGTAGCCAAGGCACACTTACTGAATGCATCCAAGAATAAGTGGCTCTGGGAAATGATGTAGTCTCAGCCTTCTATAGTCCAAACAGATCACCACAGACCAACTTACTGATCTTTTAGTATCTTTCTTAACGGATTATATGAAAGACTGCTTTTTTTTAAAACAAACAAACAAAAAACCAAACAAAAAAAAACAACCAACAAATAACAAAGAAATAAACAAAAAATCCACTAACACAACACAATAAAATGAGAACAAAACTGAACCTAGGTATACATGTAGTGATGATACATCTGCACCAGAGCTCAGACGTGGGGGTGTGCAGCACTCTGATGTGCAGCACAGGTAATGGCAAACCTCCCTAACTCTTCTCCTGGTTTTTCAGCAGGATGTGCAATGTTGGTCTGCAGGTAGGACAGTGTGAGCAAGACAAAAACTGCTGACCCAACTGGCAGAATATTCTGAAATGTTCTGAATATCTCAATGCTGAGGTCAAAGGCTGATGTGGGCACTACCTCTTCCGATATTTGTGACCATCCCCAATGTTGTGTTAAGACATCTGCACGGAAGTTGCTGCATAAATCACATGCTTTGTCTTACGATTGGATGGGAACCAACACTTTGTCGTATTTATCAATTCTCAGGAGCTCTAAAATACACTTGCATTGAGAAAATAAAAACAAAACATTTGCAACAAGCCTTAGAATTTTTCAAAGACAAATGGGTATACACAAACGTGAGGAATATAAACCCCAAGTACCATTATACCCCCCCTTAAAAAGATCCCATCCCAACTGCACTCACCAATCGGGACTTCTGTCCCCTCCTCAATGTAGATGGGCAGTGGTGATTCCTCCATAGGATGAGGCACTGATGGAAAGTAATGAATTGTGGTAGTATTTGTCGCAAAGTGACTACAATAAGATGGTCCCTCTCTTATCATTACCACTACACAAGGCTGGTTATTGGCACAAAAAGTCCTTTCTGTCATAGCGACTGACTTGTGGGCTGACCCCCCAAGGTGCATTTGGCACCTCAGGAGTTGGCCCCATCTGACTGGGCTTGGAGGAGTGTGGCTGCCCATCAGGGCCACCATCTTGCAACAGCCTGGCTAGGCCCGTCCCTGGGGTTTAACTCTTTCAGAAGCCCACACAGTTGAAGAAGCTAAAGGGAGCCGATGCACAGACAGGCACAAGTAGAGTTATTGAGTCAAAGTCATAATATTTCATGCACAGAACCAGAAGAGAGAGGCTCTGATGCTTAAAGCTTGCCGTTAGCTGTTGAAAAGCCACAGCAGGTGATGGAAGGTTGCACCACAAATGGCCTATGGACCACAAACCTTTCATTGCTCATTCATTTTGGAGCATATGTATTGGACTTAGGAGGCTCCTGATTATTTATTATATTGCCACGTCCAGAGAAAACTCTTCAGACTTGAGCTGCATGGGGCTGCACACTCATTCTGCAGTTTCCAGGCACCATACAGCCACTTCTGTAGGGTTCATCTGTTTGGGTTCTCTGGTTGGGAGCTTCTTTTTTTAAAGGTGGTTTTTGTTAGTTCAGGGTTTTTTTTGTTTTGTTTTGTTTTCCCTTTCTTTATTTTTTTCCCCGCATAAAATCTCTGGAAAACACGTACAGATTTTAATTTCCTACACTACAATGAAATACTAATCTTAATGATAATAATAAAAAGCCTTCTGGAATTTTTTCTTCTCTGTTGCCTTTAAAAAAATGATCATGTACCTTGACAAGCACACAGCCCCCTGAACTAGTCTGAGTTAGGATTCAAGCTATAAGAAAGGATGATTCCTTAGTTCTTTCTGGGGGTTCCTTCCTCTTACTATGGACTTTATTTTTTCCAGGAAGGTGGCCCTATGATATCCATAAAACCAGCCAAAGAACACTTACTGTTCAAAGCTATTAATTAAAGCGCCTTACAACTTTTCTCCTACAAACACAACTGGAACAAAGAGTGCTTGCTGCAGATGCTTGACTGGCAGCGGGCCGCACACTTGTGCTTTGTTGGGTTCAAAGGGCCGCCGGCTCTGCCTTCACCCAACCCCACCTCTCTGACATGGAAAATGAAGGGAAGCAAGGGAGGGAACAGCAGACCACGGTTGCCTACGGAACTACCATACAAGCCACAGAAACCATGGGCTATCAGGGCGCCTTGCGCAAGCCACTTTTATCTAGAAGCTGAACTAACATTCCAGCTCAACAATAGCAAAAAAACATTTGTTACCACACCGCGTTTTGCTACATATTAACCAGCAGTTGCTATGCAAGCATAAATGGAGTGCTGCAATTCAGAGATATATGTTATTTTTCCAAAAAAATGTTCATCTATGGGAAATCAGCCTGATGTGAGCGCTCGTGGGCTTGCCATGCCACTTGACACAGTACATGCTTTGGGGTTATGCAAAGCGGGCCCTGCATTGGGAACAATGCAGTCATTTTCCTTGCTAAGCTAATTTTGCATTAAGCAATGAGACTCTTCATCTATGCAGCCCCTTAAAACGTTTAATCAGATTTATTTACTAGGAAGAAATACCAGAGCAGAGCTTACTAGGCTACTCAGAGTTTTCAAATCAGACATCTGCAAGGAAACCAAATCGCTACATGGCGTGGAGAAAACTGTTTAATTTTTATGACATGCAGCTTTCTTTGCCCCATGAAGAATACTGTACTGGGTTCTTCCAGACCCAGGGTCCAGTCTGGAGCCAAATGCTTTCACAAAACATTTGCAACAATATTCACCAATCAACAGTGGCATTTTAGTCTGACTTTAATGGGTATCACCACAGGTTGTAGAAAAGGCCTGAAATACTTATATGTGCTATTTGAGGCCAAATACACATACACACACTCTCTCTTCCTCACACAGAGACATGCACACGCTGGTACACGTGCACGCAAACAAACGGCTCTACAGACACAGCTTGGATTTTGTAGAATCCAAGGTGGAGAAGCCGATTCTTGTCATGGGGTTTGGGGGTCGGGGACTCCGAGGTGCTAAAATGAGTTCTCACCCATCCATCTCCACTACCACTGTAATATTGCCCCTTCAGGATTTACACACCAACTTCACAGCCATGCTACTTAAATGTCTGCAGAGTTTCCACATTCTGCAGTGATATGCACAGAAGAACAGCACAGATAGATTTAAGGTAACAGTTGCTGAGCATTATTGCAGCATAACTACAGCCTATCTTTACATGCTCTACAGTTGGTTTCTATGAACAGATGGCAAATGTTCAGAATTGGAACGTTTTAATCATCTTTATAAGCCTTTTGTAATTTTATAAACAAGCATAAATAACACTTACGTGAAGAAAAGTCTCTCCGGAGTGGATTTTCTCTTCCTGTTTGGAAATAAAAAAAGAAAAAGCAAAAAAAATATTTTAAAGGAAAAAAAAAAGGGTCCAGGAAGACAAGTCAGGCACGTTACAACATTAGCATGCATAGAGTTTTCTAAATTTCTTCTGTGTGAGCTTAGTTTTGCAGAACATCAAGGCACTGAAGGTAGTAGCAATGTCAAATCAGATTGTTTCTCATCTCTTTCATTCAATGGAAAGCACTGCAGAAAATTTGCCTAGATCAGTTTCAAGAGTAAGGGAACTACACTGCAGCAGTGAAATAAAATGCAAATGCCACATGATCTGAAGCAAAAAAAAAAAAAAGAGGGAGCTTTTAACATTTTAGCTGACCAACACCCATGGCTCTATATACAGATTGCTTTCCTACCTGTGTGCAGCCCACCCACCCCACACCCCAACCCTGGGTGCTACTGCTGCACTCTGGCACAGCATCATCATTTCTCCACACCAGCACTCAAGCACCAGCTGCACTCAGACCCACGTCCTGCAGCCAAAGGCACTCCTCTGGGCTGGGCAACAAAGAACCACAACAGGAAATCCAGTAACTGCTGAAATGAATGAGCATGCCCAGGAGCACATGGCTTTTACCAGCCACCCTCACATAGCCGCATGCCATCTGCCTGCTGCTTCCCACCTACAGCTGGCTGCAGATTTGATTCACACTCCCCTTCCAGCAGCCAAGCTGGGAAGATTTGTGGATGCTCTTGGGCTTAGAGTCGATACCAATCTGCTTTTTGTTTGTGTGAATCTGGACGTGCACACAAAAACGAGGCTGACAGAAATGTAGCAGATGCTGTAGGACACCAGACACGGTTCCAGAATCACAGCCTGGCAGCATGGTAGACCTTCCAGCGGCTGTCTCAGGGGGAAGGGAAGAACAATGCACAATGGCAACCCTCATTTAATTTCTACCACATTATCTTATATCAATATTAGCTATTCTGTAAGTAATTTAAAGAGTATCGCCTAGAGTTTACATGCCTTGGGATGATACTCAGCTAGCACAAATCAATTAAATCCATGGCATTACAACAGCTGAGGATTCAAGTAAGTATGCATTTATGGGAGAAATTCAACAATTGTTAAATCACTGAATTTTCATCCTCATGCTTTTCTTCCAAATGAGGACTCAGCCCTGCAAGCAGCCCCCCTTCACAGGAGTGAAGTCAGTGATGAGAAGTCAAATGCACTAATCCCAGCAGTTAATCTATTCAAAACTGCACTTCTTCAATGATCCACAGTTTATTAGTATGAGCAATCAAACAAGCATTACCTGCAAAAGGCCTTAACTATCACTGCTTTCCCATCCATTCTCATGTGTTGTAATATGGTTAAATTTAAAAGAAACAAATGAGCGTAAGCTTTTCAGAATGTGACTAAATGCCTGGGTACGGCACCAGTGCAAAGAGATACCTCTTCTGATAGAACAGGCAGTTTCTATCCAAACCAAGGGTACTGGAATAGCAAGAAGGGACAAAATTCCAATAACAGGAGTGTTCAGGTAAGTACTGTGGACAACACTGCCTGAGAGACACAGCAGCCTGTTTAAAGGCTTGTGCCTGAGGGTTTCTTTGGAGACATTCAGCTAAAAGGACTTGGCTAGAGACCACCAAGATGTAGCTCAGTCTTGGTTCTGCACAGTATTGGTTTAAGAGGAAACTCACTGAAATATCTGCAATGATCACCTGTAGGACAAATCCATCCCTGAGGCTTTACAAAGAGCTGTGCTCAGGCACAGGGCTTCCACAAGCTCTGTGTAGAAAAAGCAAGCTAACCCAAAGTGCCTTCCTTTCTTCCCCAGCAATGCTGCACCTTTTCCCATGCAGCATTTAAAATGCAACAAAGCCTCCTGCCACACTCCATACATTTCACCTCTGCCATGTAAGAAACAACCAAGCAACCCCCCCAAAAGCTACAAATTAGTCACTGCCAACAACATCCCGCTCTCAGCTGCAGCACAGTAAAATAAAACCAAACATAGCAGCATCTGAATTATTCCGAATTTCTGCTGAACTCTAGACCAAAATCCCTACAGACAAAGCCCCAGGCTATTTCACCCAGCACCCCAAGCACACAGCCATCTTCCCAGTACCTCCCAATGTCAGCTCCCGCTTTTTGCAAAGTGTGGCACCAAACACCCCTGGCACCACACATAAAAGATGCGGGTTAATAAATGACAGCGAGAAGCGGCCTTTTGTCCCCCGGGCTGCGGGTTCTGCTCCCTTCCCACGCGGGGCAGCACGGGGACAGGTGTCTGTCGCCCTCCAGTGGGTGCTGCCTCAAAGCAACGCAAAGCAGGTGAGAAGGAGAAGGAAAAGAGAAGGTGAGATGCAGGCAAATGGGGAGAAGAGAAAAAACACATGCAAAGCAGAGAAAAGGAAGAGAAACACAAAGATGCTATCTCTGAAAGTGCCAAAAATAAAGTTTCCAGTGTCAGCCTAACCAAGGCAACAATGACATCCTCCAGGCACACTCGTGCTTCAGCCTCAACAGAACTCCCTCTCACTGTGTGCGGATGAGTGACTCCGTCCTGGTGCTGCCTGCCTCCATTACTCACATTTTTCTTTAATAAAAAACAAACCAAACCCACCTCTGGGCAACCCCACCACTGCGCTTCTGTGACAGCCTTCGGGGAAATCTCTCTGCAATACTCATGCAAAAGCAGACAATGAGAATAAGCAGTGAGCTCACCCAAATCTTAACCCTGAAGTAAACAGCCAGCTATCAGAAACATCAAGGCTTTCCACCAAAGCCTCTCACCTCCAAACTCCACAGCAGCAGGTTTTAATGGGCTATTTTACTCCCAACTCTGTGCAAACTAAACCGGTAGCAACTGTCACCCAAGCACCAAATTACACTGACAAGCCTACAGACAGGGCTGCCTCGCTTTCCTGCTAATACAAAACATTTTGTCATGCAAGCAAAAAAATACTGCAGTTACCAAAATAGCACTTCCAACGTAACCAGCTCCTCTCACAGCATTTTCTTAATGCCTTTCCCAATACGGTTAAAAGAATGAGAACGAACCAAAAACTCCATCTCTACACCTCGGCACAAACCGTGCTGGAATACATGTGGAGCTTTTTCTTCGCATTTATCTGCATCTTCCCCCACTACTTTTTCCATCAGCGATTTCCTTTAAACGTAGCTCTTATTAAACAGCCGAAATCAGCTTTTACAGTTTCTGAATACAAAGTTGTGCCCCTCTCAGAGCTGCCTATGAACAACACAGCTTGTCTTCTGTTTCCTAACTAACACACAATTTGCACATTTCTTCGCCCATGTGGAATAAATTCTCCCATGTTCTTATATGGAAACCTCGCAAATCCTCCCACACGCTGCCTGGTAGAGGTGAGATGGGCAGCCGTTATCCTGAAACCACTGGGGGAAATGTGGATCCCACTCACTCCAGAATCATCATCCCACACTGAGCTCCACACCCTGCCCTGTGCAGCCCCAAACCCATCACAACTTTGATTTGAGCTCGCCAAGGAGCAATTAAAAAAACAAAATAAAATAAAATAAAATAAAATAAAATTAAAAAGAGGAAAAGCAAAGGAAGAGCAGCAGCGGTATTACCCACCAGGTAGGCCCACGAGCATCAGATGCGGCATCGCCTGTATCAGCCTCTTAACTCGAGGTTCGTGCACCGCAGCCAGAAAAAACACAGCGGGCAGAGTGGGAGCGGGAGGGGAAGGCGAGAGAAAAAGGGCGAAAAAGAGCAACGTGCTCCGTAGATGCGCTGGAGGGCCGCCAGCAAGTGGGTAATTACACCGCTACAAACTGTTATCTCGAAAAAAAGTTAACGCAAGGTGGTGATGGGGAGGGGTGAGGGGGGATGAAAATAACCGCTGGGGAAGAAATAAAACCACCCGGGTAACGAGACAGCTGGGGAGAGGGGGGGAGGTTAAGAGACGAAGAAAGAGCAAATAAATACACGGAGGGGGAAGGGAACGCGCAGGCAGCGCGGACAAAGGCAGGGCGCTGCCGGCCCGGTTCGGCTCCGCTCCGCTTGGAGATGCACGGCGCAGCACGGCTCGGCTCGGCCGCCCTTTGTTCGCAGCTCCGCTCCGGCCCCACCGCCCGCCCTCCCGGGAGGTGCCGCTACCTGCGTCCGCTGCTGCCCGCGGTGCCTGCGCGCCGTTGCGCCCCTGCGGCCGTGCGGAGCGTTCGGCGGAGCGGTGCGGCGCGACTAACAGCGCCGAGCGGGAGGAAACGGTAATTTATAAGCGCTTTCTTCCTGACCTCTCGTGTCTGTTGTCTAATGAGGGAGCTTTGAGCATCACCCATCCTGCTGAGTGGAAAAACACCGGCACGGCCTCTTCTTTGCTGGGGAGGGGGGAGCCTAAAGGAAGGGGTGTGGGGGAGGAGGGGCCATGCCGCAGACACGGCGGCGGAGCTCGGGCTGGCAGGCGGCCGCGGGGCGGCGGGGAGGGGCGGGCGGGTGCGGGGCAGCGGCTGCGGCCGCCCGGAGCCGGGGCCGGTTACCCCCCCGCGCCGCCCCGCGTGCTCACGGCCGCAGCCTCTCCCGCTGCCCGAGGGCTCCGCGCGAGGGTTTCGTTTCTCGTCTGTTGCTATTTTTCCATCCCCGCACAAAGAGAGCCCTTCTCCCAGACAAAGCATCCGGCCGCACTACCCGGGAGGACGACGGGCGCTCGGACTCCGCGGTCGGTGTCGCTCCGGGTTGGCTGGGGGGCATTATGTGCTCGGGGCGACCCTCTCCTGCTGGGGAGAACGCGGCCGGCAGGTGCCTGGGAAGCGGCACGGACCCGGCGGCACCGCTCTCTGCCTCCTCCCCGCCCGGCTTCGGCCGCGCTACGAAGTGCGGTGGGGCGGCCGCAGGAGAAAGGAGCGGAGCAACGGGTTGTCCGTTTGTCCCGCATTGGCTCTCGTTTCTCCGAAAGCCTGTGGTGCTTTCCTCATGGAGTCTGACGGGGATGTGGCTCAGAGATGCCTCTCCGCTTTTCTACCCTCATCTACTGTCGTTCTGTGAATAAAGGGTACGGCAGCATGTAGGCTCACTAAGCATTTTCATACAGCCCCTGCAAAGAACTGAGATGCACTGCACGGTAAAATACCGTTCACGCTGCAGAGCAGCAGATAAAGAGATCCCTCTGTTCTAACTTTGTACGCTGGGAGCAGCAGGGATTGAGCCAGAAGGAACAAATATTCCCTGCAGCACTGCCGTCAGGCTGTCCCAGACACTGACCCGAACTTCCCACACCACCGGGATGGTGCTCGGTGAGTGACACCTATGGAGCCCCTCACCTACCACCCGGATAGTGAGGGAACCAAATTCCATCACATCGGCCTTAGGGACATCTCTAGGAAAAGCTGGTTCGTGCAGAAGCTTGGGGAGATGCACTGGTTGCAGGCAGTACACCAGGTGCAGCGTGCCACAGCCACAGCATCACAACTCGGAGCACTCCCTGATTTCCCAGCACCGAGCTGGTGGGAAAAATGAATAGACCTCAAACTGAAAGATAGATACAGGTGTAAGATAGACTCAGCTAATTGAAAAGCTATCTGCTCTGACAGACTGGTTTAAACTAATTACACGATGTAGTGCATGCTGCCACCTACGCCTTATGAATCAGGTTTCTTGCACTGCAGCTCAGCATCCGCGCGCATCCCTGTGAGACTCCACGGGGGACCGCAAACCCTGGCAGCCACGGCCGGGCTGGGGAACGAGGCAGAGCATTTCCCACCTGCTCACTGCAGTGAGGATGCCTCGATGCCAATGAGGAAGCGGCAGCAAAATGTGAGTAGTGGCTGGAGCCTCATCTGTACCGCAGCTCCTGCCAGCACAGCTGTACCACTGACAGCAGCGGAACATTTTGCTCAAGCTCTCTAGAGGAATCAAAGCCTGTATTTTCTGTCTCTGGCTGTCTCTTGTTCTGTTGTTCCTCGTTCTTTAGAAAAAAAATAAATAAATCAGCCACACGCAGCACGTGGCTGCTCGCTGTGTTTGGGGAAAAAATTGCTCGGGGGGGAAGGAAAAAAAAGAGCCCAAGCTGTTTTGAAATCAGTAGTGTGTAAACAGTACCTGGAACTGAGGGGAACAATGATATTAATTAGTACTTCGGTGTCATAAATATGTGCATCGCTGCCTGCTGTTTCAATACGAGACAGCACAACTTCTGTGATGGAGCTTGGAGAGTGCTTGGGGAATGGCACCACTAATGCCTCCTCCAGCTCTTATGTAACCGACATCATAAGTCAGAGCCCAAATTGCAAAGCGTAAGCATGTGCATCATATTAAGCATGTACACAGTGCCTTAAATTACTGTCCTTTTACTGATGGTCTGGCTTTAATCTACTGCTATTTCTGTTCCTCAGTTCCATTCATTTCAATACACGATGGTGCCATGAATAGCAGAGCCAAGCGTCTCCCCTTCAACAGCACACCATGAAAATGTTCCTCCAAACTGAAATAAATTCAGCCCAAACCGCTTTGGTTACAGGTAAAATACAGTCTGAATGACTTGTACACCAGGCCTACAGCATATCCAGGTATGATGCTATGGAAAGCCAGGGTACAACGCTGCTGTGCTTTGCATGTCACCCAGCGTGGCTGGTTTTTTCACACCTGTCCAAGGCACAGCTTAGCAGTGCTCTTCCTTTGTGTTCTACCTCCTTCCCACAGAGTGTATTCCCCATTTGCACGCAGATCTCCTGTCTGGAGTTTTAAGGTGTTAGGTGCTGATGTTGTGAGCACCTCTTGTATCTGTTTAATCCAATAACAGAACTCGTCTTTAATCTCCACGTCTGGGTCACAGGTTTTAAAAAAGACACTGGGCCAAATCCCCAGCTTGGCTCCGGCGTGTGGAAATCTACTGAGATGGCACAGAAGTTGGGAGAGATTCGCTGTGTCTGCACCATGGGAAGGAGGTCTCAAGGGGCAGTGATGGGGCTGCCTCATTTCGCACATGGATGCGTAGTAACGCAAGCGTATGGCACAGGTAGATCATGTTTCTATCATGGAGGGGGGGTATCACACCAGGACCTAAGATATGCTCATCAGCAAACCTTTAAAATTGAAGTGGATTTCCTTTTTAAGGAAAAAAAAACTTGTTTCTTCTCATCCTGTGCCTGCTCAGGGGAATGTAACTCAGGACCAAGGCACGAAAAAGAGACAGGTTTTGCAAGGATTGGAAAGATTTTACCTATAAAGATTAAGAATAAAATAATTATAAAAGCAAGAATTTATTCCAGGCAGAACTCTAAGAGCACTCACTATCTGTAAAGAAGGATGGAGGTAAGAATGGTAAAAAGATGCTCTGATTAAACCCACTGCATTAACAAGTCTCCAAACACAGATTTCCTGTATAAATACCCCTATACAAGAGCAGCCTTCAGGGTTCCTCTGTGGCAAAGAACCATGAGCTTGAAAAAAGGGTAGCAGATTTGGTGGGAGATTTAAGCATCATGCAGTGACTCTGCAGTGCAGATTTGAAGCATTACTGAACAGGGGAATAGAATTGTTGCTGTTGCTATTATGTACTGGGATATTTCACTAATCCATGCAACCCACTCAGTTGTTGCAGTTTTAGTTTGTATTTGTTTTAGATGAAATTATATATAGCCTGGGCAGTTAGTTTTTCTTAGTTTATCTCCTTAAATCATACGTACATAAAATATCAAACAGAAATCAAAGCACGACTTGTGATTTTGGTACACCCCATCATGTGAATCTGCCAAGGATGGAACCAATGCACACCAGGAAACCAAAAGCCACGGGAATTCTTAAAAAGCAGCCTCAATGGCTTTACATTCTATTAAGAATGTGATTTAATACTACTGGTGGCCTATTTTGCTTATGTTTGAAACTGCTTGCCCATTACAGGATTGCTTCTTCTGGTCGTTTCCACACATCGAGGTAATTACCTGTTAATTTGAGGCACTTTGCAAATCTGAAAAGCTGAAGCCTTTCCAAAACACCAGGCAGGTCTAGAAATGCCTCCTCCTTTACAGGAGCAGATTCCTAAAGCGAGGGGCAAACCCAGAGGGACCAAACTGGGCGCCAGTGGTCACACTGGTGTCTCAGGTTAACTGACAGCTATTTGGAAATAAAAAAGCTCCCTGTGCCCATAGGATTTTCAAGAGCTCCTGAGCAATTTAAAACCCTTGAGTGGAATGTGGCATAGAATGAAAGCTATAGGTATTATTAAAGAATGTATCCAAGCTGAAAGGCAGCCGGCTTCATAAAAGTGAGCTAAAAGCAATAACAGGGACTCAGCTCTGCTGGGTGCTGCAGGAGCTGTATGTTTTGCATTTTGGAAGTCATGTCCAAAAGAATGATCTTTTTTTTTCCTTTGCTGTTGCTATTGGGGAAAAGCAGTAAAAGAGCCGTGCATCAAATGAGGTTAAAGTAATCTGATTTAGAAAATAAACAATGTGTTTTCATCTTTAATTCACAGCCGGTCGTTTGGGATCCAACATTAAAAAACATATAAATTCAGCAAAGGTTTTGAAGGGTGACTGTTTCCCTTTAAGATTAATGATAAACACACTTGTGTATTCAAGGGAGAATAGATCCAGAGTTATGTAACAGGATAAAGAAACAAAATCCTTTTTCCTTAAATTAAAATAACCGGTACGTGTGTGGATTTCAGTCAGTCACCAAAAATTCAAGAAACCCATTTTCGTTCAGCTGTGTCCCACATGCTAAATGCTGGGGTAACTCTTAACAGAGACACAGCAAAGAAGTACAACAAGGATGTGTTGCTTCTGTTTGACTGTTCTTTTCTAGGGGTCCCTGAGAAATACTCTGCAGCATTTGTCCTGTGCAAAAATCCACGTCTGTGCTCTTCGTTTCACTTTCTGCTGCAGAAGGAAATCCAATGACTGCGCTTCCCAGAAAGTTCTTCTATTTTAATTACGCTTACCTAGAGCTATGTGTATACTGCCAGATGTACTCCTTAGATCTTTTAATCATTTCTTTATTGCTTGAAATAATTGCTACGTAAAAGCTCTTATCAAACCTTGCAATGCCTGCCTGAATTTGCCACCTGATTGGATGAGACAAGATCAACAGGTAATAGATCTGTTAAATGTTGCCATTGTTCTTTGCTGGCTTTGTCATATGAAATTTGCAAAAATAAAAGACAACAACAGCAGCAAATGAACAAACAAAAAAAGAAAACAACTTCCCACCACATACCCTACATTTTCCACTTCTGTATTTTGCAAGAGCACTCATACCAGAAGTTGTGCATCAGAATTTAATATATAAAGTTCCTCTTTATCATATGAATTCAATTTTCCAAAAGAAGGCAAACAATACTATTAATAACCGAGATACAAGGCCTGAAAAGGCTAAGTCTGAATGTGCTTGCTGCAGAAAAATGTCATCTTGTTGGATCTAATTCTGGAATCAGTACTTTGCACAATGCAGAGCAGGCAGAGATTTGCATAGAAGGGCTCTGCTGGGTTAAGGTGATGCTCACTCCTGCGTGACAGAAGCATGTGGGTGCAGAGCTGAGCTGCAAGGAGCTCTGTGTGCAGACTAAGTAAGTTGTGCTTGTGTTGGCACGGCCTTTTGCATGTCCACACTTCGAGTTTGCAGTCCTGAGAGCAACACTGTAAGTCTGGGCAGTTTAAGCAGCATTCCCCTGGTGGGGTGAGACCTGCACCTGCACTACACCAGTGGCACAAGGTGTGCTTGGAGCTGATGCTGTTTGCCCTGTAGCAGAACAGGGCTGCAATGACACAGCTGATCTACAATTTTGAACACCCGCTGTGCTCCGGCTTGATATTCTGCCTGCACAGAGATTTCCTTAGCCTTGCAAGCAGAACAGTTCTTGCAAAGCTGGGGCGGTTAAGGGGCATTGCAAAGGCCATGCAAAAGATGAGAAGTCATGGGAGGACGTAGGCTAGGAGATGGGGAAGAACTTGTGGCAGATGCACTGACAGCAATAAAAAGTCAGCAGGGTCTAAGGCTGCTGTGCAGATCCCTTTCCATTCCATCTGCAGCTGGTCACCATGCTGAGCTGCCCTGACCACGTGCCAGGTGACAGTGGGCACTGCAGGGGAAGGCAGTGCTGAGTAGCACGGTGGTGAGCCTACCTATGCTCCCACTGATCCAGACAAGGTGATGGATCACAACCACAAAGAGAAAGAAGTGTGATCACTCAAGTATATTCCTCATGCTCATATTCCTTTCTATTTGCTGGGGGGTCCCCCTGCTCCCTCCCCTCTCAAATGATGGTGGAACACTTAGGAAGAGTGTATAAAAACTGATTTTGAAGTACCTAGTTTATTCTGACAAATTACATTGGCAGCTGTAGGCAAGCAGTAACAGAAAATACCATAAGAAACAAAACTGCTCCCAAATGCACGCTTTTACTGGTTCAGACAGATAGAGTTTCTACTTAGGTGAATTAATGCGCTGCAAGCAGAGAGAGGAAGAGCATCAAATGCTCGAGCATCCAGAAAAAATAGAGAGAAAATTTAAAATAAACCCTGCGAGCTATCAAGCGACTGCTCATTCAGCTACATGATTTTAATTAACAGAACTGGAACGCAAGCATGTAATATAAACTTAAAAACACAGCACTTTGGTTTTCCAGCCTACCAGTCCAAATGCAAAACAAACTGCTTGCGTCTGGTGGCTGGGGCAGGGGAGCCGGCGCAGGGAGCTTCGTGGTTAACCCGCAGAGCACTGTGCTGCCCTTCTGCGGAATGTCACACAGCTCCTGGCACGTCCCTGCCCACTGCCCTTGGGCGCAGACACTTGGAACCATCTCCACGTGCCCTATGGAGGATGCTTGGGCTTCCACGGCTGCGGCAGTGCTGCTCCGGAGGGCAGCGATGTCACTGTGGAGAGGCGGGCAGCTTGGGTGACCTTGAGCCTTCCTAAGCAGTTACCTTTTCTGGGCCTTTGGCAAGCTCTCAAGTGATCTTTCAGCCAGAATCTCCACTGCCCAAAATAAAGTCAGCAGCATT